ATTTCTCTCAGTTGATGACCCCTCGTCAGTCGTTGTGATATTTCTCTCAGTTGATGACCCCTCGTCAATTGGTGTGACATTTCTCTCGGTTGATGACCCCTCGTCAGTTGTATTTTGTCCATGACTGCTAATCTGCCTAAACGTTGCAGGCGGATCCAAAGATCTGTTTTCACACTTCGCTGGTTCTTTTACTTGCATCTTACTATAGACGTCGTTCAGGACTTTATCAAAAGGCAGATTCTCTTTTCGACCAAGAGTTTTAAACCACAACATTTGGGTAGAAAAGTTGAAAAATTGATCATCGAGTGCGATGAAAAAGAGTGGGTTTTCCTTTCTTATGATCCAAATACCCAAACCCTTTCTAAGGAAAGCAAAGTACACGATACAGGCTTTACACTTCAAGGAAACTGCTTCGAGGTCGGTCATCTCAAGTGGCGTACTTACAGTTAGGTTGATGCAATATTTTGAGGCTAAATGATCTCCCAGAGCTCTGGCCCGACCACGATCACAAACCAGAAGAGCTTCTTCTGTATTTCCTGCCTCGTTTAGTGCTTCCGTTAGCATATTGTAGGTACCACTGAACTGATCAATGATGGATATCATGAAGTCATCTCGTTTCTGTAAATTTTCAATCACCCATTCCCAACTTTGTACCGACTTTTTCAAGTAGTTTATTGACTGTTGCTTGAAATCTTCACTACTTTGTTCGTACTTGCCACTCAGTTCATAGCAAAGCTCACCCAGGCTGTAGTTGGCTATTGCTTGGTTTCGCTTGTCGCTCATTTTGATAGCTAGATTCACGCTCATCTCATAAAATTTGAAGGCCTCTTGGTATTTCTGCAGCGAGAAGTAAGCGTTGCCTAAGTTTAAGTAGGTGGTCCCCTCTCCCTTCTTGTTGTCTATTGTTTTGGCAACCTCCAAGCTCTTTTCAAAATACTTCACTGCCTCCTTGTCATCATCCAGTAAAAAGGAAAAAAGGTTCCCTAAATTCATAAAGGATGTTCCTTCTCCGTTCTTGTTGCCAATCTCTTGGGCAATCTTTAGGCTTTTTTGATAATAATCGATGGCCTTGTCGGGTTCTTTTAAATACAGATGGGTATTTCCTAAGTTCATGTATGCCATTCCTTCTCCATTCTTTTCTCCTATTTCTGTGGTGATGGCTAGACCTTCTTTATATTTCATGATTGCGTCTTGGAATTTCCCTAAGGTCAAGTAAACGTTTCCAAGGATAATATTGCACGTCCCCTCCCCTCTCTTGTCTCTTATTTCTCTCGCAATCTTCATGGCCATTGTTACATATCTTTCGGCTTCAGTATACCTTCCCAATGACATGTAGGCACTCGCCAAGTTCATGTATGCAGTTTCCTCCGCTTTCTTGTTGTTGATATTTAAAGAAATAACCAGGCTCTTTAAGCTGTACTTAATGGCGTCGTGGTATTTCCCTCTTGTAGACAGGACCTTTGCTAGGTTCACCAGGGCAGTTGCCTCGCCATTCTTATCACCTATTTTCATGGCAATACCGACAGCTCTCTCATGATGTTCAATTGCCTCTTGGTATTTGCCCAGTGAAAAGCAAACATTTCCCAAGTTCATGACCGTTCTTCCTTCTCCTTTCATGTTACCTATTTCTTGGGCGTTCTCCAGGCTCTTTTTATAGTATTCTTCGGCCTGCGTGTAATCACTCGTCGAAAAGTACACGCTTCCCAAGTTATTGCATATTATTTCCTTGAGATGCGTGTTGCCCGTTGTTAAAGCGATGCTTTCACCTTTCTTGTAATACTCAACGGCTTCTCGGTATTCTCCTGTTGCAAAGTAGACGTCCCCAATGTTAACATAGGAAGCTCCCTCTTCCGTCTCTTCTCTCAATTCTGTAGCAATGTTTAGGCCTTTCTTGAAATTCTCGAGGGCTTCCGTGGTTTTTCCTAATTCGAGGTTTGCTTTTCCCAAGTTTTCATAAGTTTTCACTTCTGCTCTTTTGTCTCCTATTGCCATGGTGATTTCTAAGCTCTTTTCATAATGCTCAATAGCTTTGGTCTGTTTCCCTAAACTGAGGCAGGCGTTTCCTATATTGACATGAATGCTTCTGGCTTCCTTTTTGTCTCCCAGTTCCAAGGAAATTTTTAAGTTTAATTCATAATTCTCAATAGCCTGGCTGTAATCCCTCAATGACATGTAAGCGTCCCCTATTTTTTTAAGAGTGCGTTGTTCATCCTTTTTGCAGCCAAATTCTTTGATGATTTCGAGGGCCTGTTTTTCGTAGTCGATGCTATCCTGGTATTTGCCTAAAGATTTGTAGGCATCGCCTAGATTCATATATATTTCTCTCTGTATCTCCTTTTCTTTTACGTCTAAGGCGATTTTCAGGCTCTCTTCAAGATGAAGAATTCCCTCGTGGTATTTGTGTAAATCCAAGTAGGCACGCCCTGTGTTAAAATGGGAAACCATCATTCCTTTCTCGTTTCCTATTTTCATTGCAACGATTAGGTTCTTCTTGTGATATTCAACAGCTTCTTCATATTGACACAGTGAAGAGTAGATGTTTCCTATCTTCAAATAGATCTTTCCTTCATTCATCTTATCGCCTACTTCTTGGGTCAGTTTAAGAGCCTTCTCGTAATACCCGATAGCCTCTACTAATTTTTTCGTTAAGACGTGTGTTCTTCCTAAGTCCATGTAGACGGCGCCTGTTTTCTCCTTATCTCCTATTTCCAGTGCAATGTTCAAGCTCTTTTCAAAACAGGTAATAGCTTTTTCGTATTCTTTCATCGGCAAATAGGCATTTCCTAAGCTTCTGTAAGAGGTTGCCTCTAAATCCTCGTCACTGATACTTTGGGCGATGTTTAGACTTGTTTCCAAATGGTTTAAAGCATCTTGGTAGTTGGACAATTTTGTATACACGTCTCCTATGCTCGCATGGATGGTTCCCTCGACCTTCTTGTCTCCTCTCTCTATGGCAATGTCTAGGGACTTCTTATAGTACTCTACAGCTTTTTCGTCTTTATCCAATAACGAGTAGGCTTTTCCAATATTGGTATACGTCTCGCCTTCTCCCTTTTTGTCACCTAACTCTGTAACGATGACCAATCTTTTCTCGTAATATCTAATGGCCTCGGGTAAGTTGCGCATTGTGAAATACACGTTTCCTATTGTCCTATAGGCTTGTTCCTCAGCGTCCTTGTCTCCCTCGTCTATAGCAATGTTTAAGCTTTTCTCAAACTTTAGCAAAGCCTGGCTGTAGTTGTATTGTATAAAGTAGATGGTCCCGGCCATTTCTAGTACTATTCTTTCTGCTTCTTTGTCCTTTGCAGCTGCAGCAATTTCTAGGACTGTCTCATAGTAAGCTAGAGCCTCCTTGAAAAGACACATTTTCTCATGCAATTCACCAAGAACCAAATTCAAATTCATCACTGTCAAACCATCTTCAAAGTGGTGGGCGAAGATCAAACATTCTTTGAGCAGACAAATCATTTGCTGTTTGCTTAAGTTTAGACATCCATCCAATACATAATGCATACAGCATCTTACAAATGCTGTGAGGGTTGATTCATCCATTGCCAAAACTGATTAAGATCTGGCACGAACTAAGTAATATCAAGGTCAAGCATTCTTCATAATCCAAGGACTCAGTCTAGGACAAAAACAGCACGTCTATGAATAATGAATAAGATACTGTCATATTATTATCATAACCTTTACATAGAAGATCTAGAATCGCATGCTGTCTCACGACAATATATTCATTACAGTCATGGTATAAACAACTTTTGAAATGTCGAATCATCTAGCGATTTGTTTGGCTTTTTAATCATCAGGGATTTGTGTTAGAGATGAGTGCCCTGAAAATGATATCGTCAAATATTTGTTGCCAAAATCATCCAAAAACAAGTCGAAGGATTGAAGCCAGGGTCATTTGTTATGCATATAGACATATAAATTTACAGCTGAAATCGAATCTAGCTAGATTTAGTCTAGCGAGACGAAGGAAGTAGGCGAAAAACGATATTTTTAGCAACTTCAAAATTAAAAAACAGTCCAGCTATTACGGAGGAGCGAAGAAAGTGACGGGAAGAATAAAAACGTTTTCCAAAAGGTGTACACAAAATATCAATACAAATATCAAGGGAAAATTCAATAGAGAGTTGTACACGAGATCCCAGCTTGACATGAACAATAATTTTTTATTTCTCCACGCGTTTGAAGCATTTATTTTTATCTACCATGATAACCTCAGAGATCCATCGCTTTAAAGGGTGAACACTTTTGTCGCGTTCCATATTGGCTTCGCAAAACGTAGAGCACTCAGTGCAAAACGAAACTAATGGTTCTCCTTACTTCCGGGATTGAACGGTTTAGTTTACGGTCGAATTTTCATCAGCAACGTAACGAAAAAGTCAAAATATCTAATACGAAAATAACCTTGAAGTCTTGAGGGGACATCAAGTTTCTAAGTCCTAATGTTGTTGCAGCTTTCGCTTTCGCTGTGCTTAATCGTTGAACAAATAATATTATACTCTGCGCATTAAACGGAGCATGAAAAAGGTGATTACACATGGAATAGAGAGAAAAAGACTATTGAGTCGATTCTAATTGCACTAAAAATAAAGAAGAAAGGATTTTACCTTGTTTTAAGGAGACGGTCTTGTTGATACATGAAGGCAACCACTTGTAACGCTGTAATGTATTATAATCAAGGGTCACGTGGTGATGGCAACCAGACATTGAATGACTCGTAGAACCACTAACGAATCAAAATCAGTTCCATGTCATTTTGCTTGGCGTATTTCCATTGCAAAAGAAAAGGAATACTCGCGTGATGTAACGGTCTACTTGCGCGTAGTTCTTACACCAAAATTGAACCAAATTTAGCTTGAAATTTGGATTTCAGACTTTATTCTTTATCTAAATTTATCAGGCTAATTTTCACAAGCATATTTTAGACTGCAAAAAATATATTTATATACAAAGAAAAAGAAAAAAACCCCGAATGCACTCATTATTTAAACAATCTTTGTACGTACGAATGTACATTTGTAAAATTTAAATAAAACTAGCTGTATTTGCAAGTAACGTTCGATTTTTTTGAAATCCTTTGCTATCCTAAAAATCGATTTTGTTAGATACAAGAACGATTCCCAAAAGATTGACAATATCCTTGATGTCCTTGAGCAAGTAGCTACATGTGTTTGAAAAGATTCTCGTGGTCCTTTCTTTAAGCCTATCATGAGATGAAACTTTTGCTACAAGGTTATGGTATAGTTTTTGCAGTTCATTATGGTTTTGCATGTTATCCTCAGTGCACAGATAAGGCAGAATATCGAGCACCATCCATCTCTGGAGCCACTTTATTTCCTCCTGTAAATAAAAAAGTGAGCTACAAGGATGTGGTATTATGCTTGTAGATCATAGTTTCCCATGTTAGCCAGCTCAGACCAAGCAGAATGTCGAGCACCATCCATTTCAGTAGCCACTTCATTCCCTTCTACAAAATAAACAGTTAAGTACAGGGATGTGATATTATTCTTGTAGATCATAGTTTCCCATGTTAGCTTGCTCAGACCAAGCAGAATACTGAGCACCATCCATTTCGGTAGCTACTTCATTCCCTTCTGCAAGCCTGTGAGAGGCTCCTCCTATAACATCGTGACACTCCGGGCACGATCCTGTTTCCATGGCACCGCCACATTCACCAATAGCATAGACATGTCCCTGACGACACTTATACCAATGACCTTTGGACAGCCCCATGGCTCTGATTATTTGGTCTTTCTCTTCGCGTGTTGGCGGATCGATAGGATATATAGAGCGGATTTCTTCTAGTTTTCTTAAGTAGTAATCTAGCTCTGGCATCTCTTTCCTAATAGTGGGTTGTGACGGCGTGTACCTGACGTCATACAAGAGAATTCTGTGTTCAGTCTTTAGACAGATGTCACGATTCTTTGTTTCAGTTCGAAGACTGCACACTTCAATGACAACCTTTTGTCGTTTCAGTTCAAGCTCGATGTCTGTGATCTCCCGCTCAACTGAACCAACGATGCGTTCTTGGAGGTAATTTAAAATCAAGATACTCAAATTCACATCCTTCATTTCTGAGCTTGTTTTATCGGCAATTTTGGCTTTGGTTTCTGTTGCTTTCTTAATGAGGTTGTGGCACCGCGTTAGCAGTTCCACCTGGTTTTCAATGTTAATGATTTCAAAGACGTTCCTTGCTTGATCAATCCTTTTCAAGAGTACCTTATCATGGCTTCGTTTTCGCCTTGCAGAACTGCTGCTGCTGCTGCTGTTGCTGCTAGCATCAAGGAGATGCTGGGTTAATTTGTGGTGCACTTTATATCTTCGTTCTTCGCTTAATGGTTTAAATAGTTTTTCTTTAACTCTCTCGATGTCTTTTAGCTGTTTCTTGATTACATTATTATAGCGCATCATGGTTTGTATTGGTGTTTTGCAACGTGGACAAACCTGAAATAAAAGTAGAAGAGTTATTTTTATACGGGGCCGCTCTGGATAATAGATAATATTAGAATAGAAAGATATTACAAATGTTAGCCATGCCCTGACGTAGATCAGCACAGAGATTATTTCAGGGTTCTATCTGTGAGTTAGCCATGACCTGACTTAGATCAGCCCAGAGGTTGTTTCAGGGTTCTATCTGTGAGTTAGCTGGGCCCTGACTTAGATCAGCCCAGAGGTTGTTTCAGGGTTCAATCTGTGAGTTAGCCATGCCCTGACTAAGATCATCTGAAGGTTGCCACAGGGTTATTCTTGTTTGGTATGCTACTCGATTTGCAGTTATGCCAGGAAAAGTTTATGCATATGAATTTTTTCAAGGCTTAATTATTTGTAGTCGTGATTTAGAGATGTATATATATATACCTTCGGCTGTATGGAGTTTTTCTCTTGTTGATCATCATTTCCCATATCCATCCACTTATCAAGCGCGTGCACTTCAAAGATGTGTTTGCATCCCCTCCCATCCACTTATCAAGCGCGTGCACTTCAAAGATGTGTTTGCATCCCCTCAGTTGAATAAAGCGCACAGTTTCATCATCAAAGTTCTCAGTTCCGAAGAAGATTTTTATTTCTTCCTTTTCGCACTCCACGCAGATACAAGGTTCGTTACACAGACCACGGCATCTATGTTTACACTGTAGTAGTTTACGACACGGCTCGTCGCAGCGTGGCCTATCGCAGATTTCCCCACACTTCATGCTACACTTCAAGTGCTTACACATCCATTCGCACTGATGAGTACAAGGAACGCAAGGCTCACCGCATTTCTTTCTGCATTCACTGTGTTTGCACTTGGTTTCACACTTGTTCGTGCATGGCGGACAAGTGATGGTGCAGTTGGCGCGACACTCATGGCCACAGACAAGCACTCTCCCACATGTTTTCTTGCATCGTCGATGGACTCTTCCTTGCAGACACTCACCACAACTCCCTGAGCACTCATGACCACAGCTAGGATCGCCGCCACAAGGACCGCGACAGTCAAGAGGACTAGCTGAACAAGCTATTGTAACTTCATGTCCACAAGGCCAGTCGCTTCGCTTCACAAGCTCCTTACATGATGACGTGCATGGTTCGCCACACCGTGCTTGGCATCGATGACCACATTTGAGTAATTTCGGGCATCTTTCATCACACTTCACATGGTTGGGATTGTCACTGCATCGGGCATTCTTCTTGACATGGTTACACGGAAGAGTCATCTCAACGCGATAAAGACATTTTGGCTCACAATCTTGCCCACAAATATTGCGACATATGTGACCCTTTCTGCAGCCATGTATTATCTTGCTACAAGGTTTGTTGCACCTAATGATAACATCAAAATAACTAAATCCATTTTATTTAGAGAGGAGCACAGCTCTAACCAGTTTGAATTGGTTAGAGTTGATTTGAGACTACGTACAATTTATTATACAACGTAACAGATCTCCTCGACTCGGGCGTAATGTTTTTCCATTTCAGGCCATGTGTCATTCCCTAGAGTATCATYTCTTTGTTTAACGGTTGCGCATGAGAAGACACATGAATATACAACTCAAACAAGATTATGGATACAACTCAAGATTTTTTATTATCAAGGGAATGACACGTGGTCTGAAATGGGAAAACATCACGTCTATTATAAATATTAGTAACTAGACTATTCGAGCACCTGAATTCCTTGTGTTCTTGATCGTAGGGATGGCATAGAAGCGTACAGGCATGTCCACAGTCAAGTCGATACGCACAGCGTAGTCTACATCCTCCATATGGTACCTTTTCCTGGAAATCCTCGGGATCTTTCACCGCAACCTGGAAAACAAAGCCATGGAAATACGTTGTTTAGTAAAAAAAAATACGAACCAAAGGCAGGAATTATTAGATCATTGACGTCTGACATATACAGCTATTTCAAAAAAGGTTGGTAACGGTTTTGCTACATATTAAATGTTACATGTTGTATGTTGAATGTTGTATACCAAGTTCGAATTGCTGACGTCACAGCGGCCATGTTGTTCTACCAAAACAATACATATTCTAACCTCTGGGAATTGAACTCTATTTTTATGCCAAAACTGTGGAGAAAGTTTCTATCTTTTGGTACACCAATATGGCGGCCTTATCACGTGAGTGAGAACGCTTTATTTAATTTTCCCATTTTTATCTGCACATTTTTCCTGCATATATATATTTTTTCCTGCGGACATGGTAAGCACTATGCACCATGCAACAGTAACTCCACCAACCGTTTTCAGTTATTCTGATTGGTTAGCTGATCAGTTATCTGGCCCTGATACACAGTTTTTTTACCTTCGTCGTATGTCTTTGACATCGCAGAGGAAGTTCTTTTCCAAGTCTGCCATTTTTCCTTACATCACCAACAACCTTCTTCCAAATTCCACTCTTCCCTGACAGCAGATCAAAGTTCCCAATGACGTACAGACCCATACGAGCACGTGACAAAGCTACGCATGCTCTGTTGATGTCATTGACGAATCCCACGTGACCAGTGTCGTTGCTACGCACCAAGGATAACAGGATAATGTCATTCTCTTCTCCCTGGTAGTTGTCAATGGTCGACAGGCGTATCTAAATTTATGAGACGTGGAAAAAGGTAACACAAATCATTCAGCCAGTGAATCTGGTCGTTTAAAGAAATAGAAAACGCGCACTTGTGCTGGGTGCAGTCATAATGCACCCGAGAATTGTCAGAACAGAAGAGAAGTGTTAGTAGAAGCACAGCATGTAGCGTAGTGCAGTGGCGTAGTTAAAAACATTTCTTGAGTGTTCTGGCAATACCCAAGTACTTTATTATTGAATACAGCAATGCCGAAACAAGTTTTATGAAATACAAATTAGATTAGCCATCCTTTTGGATTTGCCCCAAAATAATCAGAAAGCCGAGGATTTATGACAGCGAAACCAACCAAATACCACAAACACGTGCGCATAATTGCTTAAAATATTTGTCACTATGTGTTCAGTTTTTGCTACAAGCATAATATGCATCGATAGCATAAGCTAATTTTACCTACGCTTACCTCTGTAAGGCCTTCAGTCATGTCATCTCTGATCATGAGCATCTGCCCAAGATAGGGTGTGAGGATGGTTATTTGACTTGGTTTATAGCCTTGTTGTATGACATAACGACAAAGCCTTACTAGAAATCGAGCCTCGTGTTTATTGAAATGGCTGAAGGAATCTTTACTGTCACTCTCTGAATGCCTGTTAAACAAAGAGTCACTCAGTTAAAGTGGTTATCAATTCATGTGGCACATTTCTGATTTTAATGCGGCAAATAACTTCGATTTCCTGGCCCTTTCGATTTTCTAAATTGATCTATTTACAAGTTAGTTTGCTACTGAATGTTTTTAGTCATTGTATAAAAAATTACTATACTTCCAGACATCGAGTGCTGAACCGTCGTATGGCAGCGCGAAGCATTTACGGCTACGCCGGAGATTTCGACCCCGACACCGCTATCCAAAGATTTACAGACTGATCAGGAAGCTCGACCGAAGCCTAAGGGAGAGGTTAGTCGGCCTCTAGACCGTAAATGAGTAACCCCTTGCAATGACCAGTATGCCCAATATGACACTTGTTTCACTGATGACTTTGTACGCATGGACGCTCTCTTCCATGTGGGACCCCTATTTTGAGAATTAGCCGTAACGTTATTAGTGAAAACATTCTAGAACCACTCTAACGGCTTATTTCATATTTAGGCTAAAACAAAATGTACCTCGTTTGTCTATATTGTGAGAACTGCTTGTAACGTTTCAAATTAAGGAATATAAAACGCGCGCGCATGTCTCTATACTGTGTTATAAAATAACTGTTATGAATGTCGCGTTCTGATTGGGTTGGAGCGCGTGCTTTATGAGAGCACATTGCACGCGCGCGCACTTTCCGTTGCGTCATTCCTATCTATTATTGTAATTTGTATTTTATAAAAGAAATAAAAAACTTGCTTGCTGTGCTGTGTGCAGTCATAAACCACTTGGGGATTGGCAGAACACTCGAGAAGTGTCCAGAAGCACTCCGCTACGCGTCGTGCTTCTCCTAACACTTCTCTCGTGTTCTGCCAACCCCCGCGTGCTTTATGACAGCACACAGCACGCGCGAGCGTTTTCTATTTCTTCAATATGAACAATCTGGGAGCTGTATAAAGCACGAGAGAAGCAAGCTTAGAAACACAAGGCGTACCTGAGTGCTTCTCTTGTTTCTCGAGTGCTAAAACTCCCAGAGTGTTTATTTCACAGTACAAAGACATAGGACTAGATAATACGACTATGAAACAATGGGAATGAAAAAAATACGTTACCTGTGGTCAATAAAGAACAAGTTGTGTTGGAAGCCAAGGACGTCCTCATAATCATGAACTATTTGGTGGTTTGTAAGGTCCTTGTAGATGTGTCTCACCAGGGACGCTATCTCTGGTCTCATGCGATGCTGTACCTGACAGGGAACACTCTACGTTAGTCTAGATATGAAACACTGAACATGGATCAAGAGAATGTGGCTCTTATTCTGTTCACATCTTAAGAAACTTTTCAAACTATAACATTCATAAAGTGGCGCATAGAAACCAATAGAGCGCACTTTAACCCCCCTCTTCATCAGTGCTCTGTTTTGATGGTGTTTAAAGGTAAAGATACATGGATCAAAGAAAAGTTGAAACAAATATGTTAGATCATATCTGGGGGTCAACGTACTAACTTGGTGTCCCGTGAAATACAAGGGTGAAGTCACTAAACCCGTGAAATAGATATTAGACTAAGGCCCCGTCCACACGTATCCGGAAATTTTTGTATCCGCAAATTATTTTTTGGAAAAAAGTACAGGGGATGCTCGTCGTATCTCTAGGAGTAAAAATTCGCGATTTGGTATCTTTTGGGAGTTCAATGCGAATTTTTGAAAATCAGCATTTTCTGGTATCCCCCCCCCCCCCCCCCCGAAATTGAGTCACTGTAATATATGAAATAGTCAACTTACTGTTAATCTTACACAAGGCATCTGTAGTTTGGCCAACCGTTCAAACATAGAAATATTCAAGTTGTACTTCTTGGCCAGCTCGTACACCGTGCAGCTTGGCCTCAGTTGTTGGTGATCTCCTATAAGAATCACGTGCTCGCAATCCAACGGAAGTGACGTCAAGATGTGAGCCTCCAGCACCTCAGCGGCTTCTTCCACAATGACAATCTTTGGTTTAATTCGTTGGAGAATGTCCCGATACCTTGCTGCGCATGTCGTTGTCATAGCAATGATCTTAGCTTGTCTAAGGATATAGAAATCTTCATCGGCATTGATCTCTGATAGTCTCATCAGAAGCGTTTCGTAGCCCACTTCTTGGCTGTCAGTAATTCTCTTTTGTAGATATCTTTCCAATTCTAATCTCCATAACCGATAAAGGTCCCACCTTCTACCACTTGGCAGCCTAAATAGATCTTGAATTGACTCTTCCTGTGCGTCAGACATAGTTTCTTGACTTTGAAGGTTATTGTAAAGTTGTTCTGGGTTTCTGGCATCATTTACATGGCATACGACAGCTGGTCCTTCTGTTTCATCGGGAAGATCATCATCATCACCTTCGACCTCAAACTCTCGTCCAGCGGAGATGATCTTTCTGAAGTCCTCAGACTGAAACACTTGGTGTTTATCGCCGTCTTGAGGTTGTTTCTGTTCAACGCGCAGCCACTGCAACAATTGCGCATCTTCTGACCTATTCTCCTGTGAGCAACTTGTAAAACACCGTATGTGGCGTTCTTTCATGAAACCCTTCAGTGTACTGATAGATAAAACTCCCTTATAACCGTCTGCGATGGTACAGCTTGCTTCTTTAGGTAGGTAGGTCTCTTCTATCTCCTTTCTCTCCCTCCAAATGCGTCCTCTCTCTTGTTGATTATCATCTCCATGCTTTTCGTTACGTCTTTTTGTTCTAAGTTCCTTTATGTTACATTCGTGGAGTTTCTCTTCCTTCGAGCGTCCGCCAACTCGAACGACACCTTGGAACAATAAATAAAGGTTAATGATTATAGATTTGGCAGCACTGTTGCCACATGGGATGGTGTATTGAACGCTGACTTTATTTTTCAGGCAGTTTTTAGTTTAGTTTTTTAGTAAAATTATAGGAGAAGAGAGGAGAGGAGAGGAATAAAGTGTAACGACGCAACTAACCTTGTTTGTTGTTCAGTCCCATCAGGAACTGGTCCAGGGCGTGATTGGTGTAGGACACCATCAGAATAGGAGACCTGTCCTCTCCACTCCACAAATCTCGGTTATCAAGTAAAGCATGGGCAATCTTCAGCCCTACGTAGGTCTTACCGGTACCAGGTGGACCCTGAATGAGCGCAAAGCGATGATTTAGTGCTTGTTGACATGCGCGGTACTGGGATTCATCAAGTCCTAATGCTTCCTTGCACGGCCATTGGTGGATATTATGAACCGGAACACGTGATACATCCAGGTCGTTTTCTTGTAGGTACTCTGAGTCAGCAATACAAGTCATGTCCATGTACTTAAGGTTGTCGTTCGATGAAACACTGCCTTCTTCAGTATCAGAGTAGGACTGTTCGTGTGAGTCCATTATATAGCCATCATCTGAACTCTGATATCTCTGATTATTCCAGTCTTCGTTCATATTTTCTTGTTGATCATCAATGATGTAGCTGGGCGGAGCATCTGCATTCTTGCAGTGCACAATGCATTCTTTAAAGGGCAGCTTTTCCTCATTCATTGTTTGCAAAGCGCTCAGATTATGTCTGTATGCTTCAAAATATGCCTCACTTTCTATCATTTGAAACACCCATTTGTTTTCAATGGCATTCTGCATCGACTGTGTCTCACAATTTTCAAAGCGTAGCTCCAAAAGGCCGCACTCCAAATCACAGAAGTCCCGATTCTCTACAGTGGCAAATAGTAAAGTATTAAATCCATCAGCAGAAAGACAAACCAGTGCGCCATACTTTAGTCTCTTAATCACGAACGTCCTCCAGTTTACGTGCTTTAATCTTCCATTTTGTTTGTTGATTTGAACTCTGTACACTCCTCCCCTGCGATGGCACACAGGATTGATTATCTTCAGCTCTTTGTAGAGAAAGGTGTTCTGTCGTGGCGTCGTGTTGTCTTCATCTTCTTTTGTTCCATGATAGCTACTGCCTTTTCTTCTTAATTCTTGGATTCTTTCTCTTAAGGGCATGATGAAATCTTCTCTTAGAAGCCGGAATTGTACATCAAGATAATGCTCGGTGTCTTTGTAAGTACTCTTGATGACATTCGCGCGCAGGAAAGGGCTGACCTCCTTGAAGTCTTCCTCATTTGGGACGACGCTTATTTTACGAAAGTCATCTGGTGGATTCATACTATCATCATTGCCATGTTTCGTGTGGAATGGATTCTTGATAGCCTTCAGTGAGGCAATACGGTGGAGAATACCGTCACCAACTTCTCCATGGTCGAGCGGATGGATCTTATCACTGAGTTTATCTACCAACATTTGAACAAGATAAAACACAGCCTTGTCAAATCGTTGCAAGAGCGCCTCAAATATACTAATAATCTTACGAATGACTTCAGCAAGCTCATCTTCATTACTGCAATTCAATTGAGGCAAATTCATAATAAACTCAGGGAAATGAGTTCCAAGAAGCTGCTTGTGCGTTGCTTGAAGAATTGCGTTAGCAGATGTGTAGCGGTTGGTGGAGTTGATGACGGCCATTAAACTATCGATAACAAGCTTGAAAAGATCCTCACGGATTCCTTCTTGTGAATTCAGTAGCGCAACATATCTTTGTTCAGCTTTAACTAATTGTAACATGACTTCATTTTCATCCATTTTAGAGCAAATATTTTCAAGTGCTTTGTAACCGATTGGGTTGAAGTCCCGCTTTTCTTTCTTTTCTGGGATGCTTTCGTTTTCTAACTTATTGCTCCTTTTTCGTTTTCTTTGGGGAGCATCAGTTCTTTTGGTTGACAAGGAAAGACCGCTTGTCCCTGGTGGTGAGTGCAGATGTGTAGGCTTGGAGCAAACAGCCCGTACAGATATATTCTCCTGTGACTCCGTCGCCGTAGCACGTGATTCTACTCGCCCCCTTTTGATTAACTCCTGAGTAACAACAGGTAAAGATTGGATGCCATGTGGAAAACAGGAAGATGCACACTCTCGTCTCCTTTTCTTTGAACCTATCAGACCCTTACTCGCTTCACTTTGCGCAACACTTACAAATGTTTCGGACCCATCTCTTGAAAATCTTTCGTCACGGGACCCATGGGAATCCATTTCATGGCTTGACATCGCTCTTTCGTCACGGGACCCATGGGAATCCCTTTCGTGGCGTGACATCGCTCTTTCGTCACGGGACCCATGGGAATCCCTTTCGTGGC